AAAAAAAATTATTCTGATTGTTCAAAGTACTGTTGAGCAGCCTCGAGAACTGATTCTCAGGATGAAAGACGGCGTATTAATCGACAAACTCCAATCAGCATCCTTTTAGCGTTCCTTTTTTCAGATGCTGTGTTCTAAGAAAGAAAGTGTGTTCAATGATGAATGCAGACGATTGAGGTGACATGAAACGTCACCTCAATCCCCCAGTGCATGTTAAGTAACTTCCCAGATGATGACTTTGATCCTGCAATAAAACATCGATAAAAACCTCCTCCCTCGCCCTCCTCGCCCGTCCACAATCGCCCGTCACTTCCGCATCCCTAATGGCTCTTGCGTTTTAAATTAAACATGTAAAATTTGTAGGTTTGACTTCATGACATTTCCTACCCAACCAATTACTCTCATCCATAAACTCCTTAAACGTGGACGCAATCTCTTGCAGCGAGAAGACAAAATTAAAAACAGGAAGAAAAAAAAAGAAAAAGAAAGCCGTTAAGAGCAGAGTGTTGGTCGCCTCGGTAAAAGAATTGAACACACACCCTGGCCCCCCTCATGTCCTCAGATGTTTCCAGAGGTTATGGGCAATCTGCAGCTTCAATTTAATCAGCAGAGTTTCCAGTGTGAAAACATTGCGAAACCTTACGTTGAGGATGAAAGTTGATTTATACAGAGGTGTACCATAAATCCTCCGTGTGTCATGCAGACAAGACGGAGATAATATGATTATTTGTATGCACGTTGGTGTGTGTACACATGTCTGGAATGCACAAGGGAGGGAGGGAATGGGAAGGAAACTTGATTGCCCCTTTCTCAATCAGGCTGAGTGTCAACAGGAGGCTTTTAATACTGTGGTGAGAAAGGAGAGCGTGCTGGGACACCCACAAAGAAGGATTGAGCGGGGATCGAACCTGAAATGAACATAGAAAGAGAGAGAGGGAGAGAAAGAGAGAGAGGGAGAGATATTTGGGCTGGTGGTGCAGCAAGGAGGCAGTAACCAGTGACAAAAAGGTGAGACCGATGGGAATAGAAGAAGGGAGCATGTAGGGAGGAGAGAAATGAGCAGCGAAAAGAGGAGGACAGGAACAATCAAGGTGTCCAAGAGCCTCAGAATCACACATTCATGCACACACACACACACACACACACTCATTTTTGCCTCCTCATATCCCTGTTGGCCCCACTCTGTCGCAGATTGCTCCTTGTCCCCTGTCACCTTCATCATCCCTTATTTGGTCTTTTTTTTTTACCCCCCCCTCCACCATGTCCTCATTCTCATTCTCTCTGCTCTCACCCCCCCCACACACACACACACACCCCAGAAGCAGTGCACACCATGAACTTCTGTGCCCCCACCTCCTCCAGCCATCAATCCTCTGACCCAGTTGTCGTGCCCCCCGTGTTGGTCCATTTGGTGACTCGCTGAAGTTTGAATCACAACTTAGGTGTTGGAGCCACAAACAGTCGTCACAGTAACACTATCCCAGACCGGGTTTCCTCGATTATTGGTGAACACGAGGGCAGAGTGGGCTTTCATGTACATGACACCAGGCTGAGCGGTGGTGTGTAATGGAGCATTTGTCTCGTACTGCCCCGCCCTGCCTTTCAGTTACCACCAAAGTCCCAGCCACCACAGAGACAGCCAACCTGTCTACCACCAGGTCCAATAGTTTTCACTACAATCATTAAGCAAATGGAAATGAATACTGTGAGCTAAGAGGTGAGACCATGTGGTGAAATGGATCTTGTTTGTGTGTGTGTGTGTGTGTGTGTATGTGTGTGTGCACATTATGACTCTGTACAGGAAACAGAAGTACATCCTATACGCATCCTGTGCAATTACTTCAAACTAATAGTAGTGTCTTTGGGTTACTCCAAGTCCACAGTCAGAACTGTCATATCGGTACCATATTTTTACTGCCAGTCTGTAAACACAACAGCATATCTGTATCTGTAGCTGCAACAAAGAGCACATACTGTATATCGGTTTAGTCGTTAAAAAAGGGGAAAACGTTTTCCTCAACTGTGAGACTTTAATAATCGCGTGTGACCCAGTAAACAAGTCATTTGCACTGAGCTGATACAGCATTTTAATTCATGCTGAGGAAGCCAGCCTATATGATACTGCCCTCATTAGCTGACCCACTTGGCTAGCATGTTTTGTTGTTGTTGTTGTTTCACAAAAATATCATGTTTTGTTGTTGTTGTTGTTGTTGCACAAAAATATAAGAATGTTCAGTTAGGTCTTTCTTTCACTGGGTTCTTAACTTCATGTTGATGATATAAGACTCTGGAGCCACTGTATCTGCTTCTACTGTATAATCATTGGAGGAAGAGCAGACCATGAGTGAGCAAGAAGGGTGGATGATGTACATCATTAAAAAATGCCTTTATTACTGCATTCAGTCGTATAAATGAAGTACAAAAACCCTATTATCAGTAGAAGAAAAAAATTACAAGTGTGAACCATCTGCACTCGTTGTTCATTGCTTTTTATGGCAACTTGAGAAGTGAAGGTCTCCCCCGTAACTACTGCTGCTGCTGCTGCCTCTGCCTCACTGATGGGGCCTTAAAGGGAGGGTAAAGACGAGAGGTGTGTCACCCGTAAGAGAGGCAAAAGTGGGCCAATCTGAAAAATGGTGTCTAGAACCCAAGAGTAGATCATTTATTTTGTAACAAGAGGAAAACTCTAACAGCTAAAATAGCTCCACTGTGTGTGTCTGTGTGTGTGTGTGCCTTCAAAACGTGTGAATTCTGTGTAGTACATGAACAGTCCTGTTTTTAGAACCTGTCTGATTGTATTCTAAGTGTATTAATCTTAGGTTGATTTTTGAAATTTAAACAGTTCTTTTAATATGTTCATGTGGAGAGGGTTTTTTTAAAAAAATAAACAGATCATTCCTTCATTATGCCTTCAACTGAAATCCAGCTTTTCAAAATCAGGTTTTGGTTCTTCATAACATGGTATTTTGGAGTGACCTCTATTTTGCCATGGCTTTGAGAGTCTTTTAATATTTAAATAATAAACAGTTGTTCATTTTTTTTAGTTTGTGTCCTTTCTTACTGCAAAAACTAATGTCTTTAATCTGTTCCTCTGTGCAGTGCCCGGTCCTCCCAACCTATCAGTGACTCAGGACACGGCGACCTCAGCTATAGTTCGCTGGGACCCTCCAGACCTGACCAATGGGATGGACCTGCAGGGTTACCGGCTCCAGTTCGGCCGGAAAGATGTCTCCCCTTTGGCCACACTTGAATTTGCTCTCCAAGAGCGGCAGTACTCTGTGGGCAACATCCACCAGGGGGCCACTTATATCTTTAAAATCTCAGCCAAGAGCAGGGGGGGCTTTGGGGAAGAGGCTGTTGTGGAACTAAGTGTGCCTGAAAATACACCAGGGGGATACCCTCAAATTAAGGAGGGCTCCATCGTGACATGCTGCTCAGTGCAGCTGTCATGGTCGCCGCCGGTGCTGGCAGAGAGAAACGGTGTAATCACAAAGTACACTTTGGCCTACAAAGAAACCGGTGCCAATGCAGCAGCGCGGGAGCTGCACTTACCCCCCAACCTGTCCGACTACGTACTCAACAGCCTTAAACCGAACTCGGCCTATGATGTGAAAATTCGTGCACACACCATTGTAGGTCCAGGGCCCTACAGTCCGCCTATCCACTATCGGACGGGGGCCTCTGATCCAGCAGGTAGGCTTTGCCCTGTTTTTTTGCCTTGACAAGGTGTTGGAACTCAACGAAAAAAAAAATACTAACAACATAAAAAGGAAACTCCTTTGACTCCTTCTTCAAACTCTTCACTTCACTAATCCATGTTAAGGTAAAAAGTCAGTAAGTAATAGTCAGTCGTTTTGAGAATGAGGAGGTCAGCCTGTAATGTCAAAGGTAAGTGATGTTTTGTCCAAACTGCCGCCGGTCGTCCTTGCAGCCCAAAGCATTCACACGCAGCTAGTGCCAAACACACGTCCCCAGTTTGCTCAGCAGGTAGGATCGCAGTCAAACACAGTCACATCAAGAGTAAATCTGGATTCTTTTTAGATTAAGGTTTAAGTTGGGTTTTTGTTTTTTTTGCACTTTTTTCACTTTATTATTGCTTTTATTTGATTTTTTTTTTGTTGTTGATATTGATGTACACCTCCTTTCCAAAATCCCTTTCTCTTTCGAATCTTCTTTCCTTTTTTTCCTCTGTCCCTGAGGGGGGCAGCTTGTGGCATGGCGTTCCCCAGATGCACTCGTGAGGATTGTTGGCATGCTGTGTCTGAGGTCTGTCTGTACGACTGCCTGGCAGATCGTGGCAGTGCCATCCCAGCCTCACAGGTGTGACGTTGTAGTTGTCGTTGAAACCACCACGTTGTGGTGAGGAAGGATGGCACTGCCAACGTTAGCTTCACAGTCAGCACACCCTATGTGCCCCATGGGTTTGTCGTCCATGTCTTACATGGTACATGTCTTAACCAATGGTGTTGCCCTTCTCACAGCCAATCACAGCTACCTGCCACACTCACTTTCTTCAACCCAGAGGATCGTTCCAGGGAAACCACAGTGTTTGTACCGTTTGTTTGTTTGTTTTCGTCCCTAACCAAAGGTGAAAGTATTCATTTGTTCTCGCCACAGATGTTCCAAAGAATTTCACTGTCAAATGGGCCACCAAAAACACAGTGGTTCTCGCATGGAAGTTTTCTGTGAGCAGGTCTTCATACAAATGCACGGTGAGTTTGTGACACATCCGACCTTCCATTTCCATTTACCTCCACCGATCTGCTGCATCACACATCCAACTTCTTTTTGTATCCATTAAACCTCAGATCGAATACAACCGTCAAAAAATGGATGTGGACGCCAGGCAGCTGAGGGTGTTAATCACTGGGCTGAGGCACAACACCACCTATGAGTTTAGGGTGACCTGCCAAGAAAGCATGGACGGCGGGCCAAGGCATCGCGTGGTGGCCAGAACTGCTCCACTTATCCTGCTTAAAAAACCCAAGCTGGACCTCTTTGCTGAGTCTGACAGCACACTCACCATGTCTTTCCCAACAGTCGATATCCAGGATGTAAAGTGAGTAAAGTGTGTGGGAAGATGCGTAGCAAGGATTGCAAATTTGGTCTGAATACTTTTTGATCACTTTGAGTGGAATGACATAAGTCTGATGATGTGTGCGATGTCTGAAGGGTTAAATAATAATTATTTTCCATATTCTTTGTTTCCAGGAATTTCTATGTGGTGGTGGTTCCTCTCAGGAAAACAGCTGTAGCTGTTAAAAACCTGAAGAACCCCGATGAATTAGACATAGAAGAGGTAGGAACCCTCTGTGGAAACGTCCATTATAACACAGAAACAGTGTTGATAAACAACAGTGTAGATATTTGTCTTTTGAAGATTTGCCTGTTGAAGTCCATTATAACACAGAAACAATAAACAACAGTGTAGATATTTGTCTTTTATTTCACGGCCAGGTATCTTTCACCTATTCATGTTACCTGCATTTACTGCGACGTGACACAGTCTTAAAGACATGACAGCTGTGTCTATTAGCAGAATTATACAGTCCTGTCTCCCTCTCCTGCCGTGGCTCAAGGTCACCTTGAGCACAGCATCAGCAGCAACAATCCTATTTGGATTCAGGATTACACACATTCCCCCTGTTTTGTGTCATCATCCGTCTGCAGTTAAAAATGAATTAGTGGTGTGAGGTCTCAGGGACCTGGTTACACGTGAGACACTGATCTGCTGATAGAATCTGTCTGACCAAAAACATCTGAGGCCTGTTTTCCCTGATCTTAGTCCAGCCTAAATTTTTGTCTTGGTTTGAATGATACAGATTTAAAAGCATGGATGTACTTTATGCGTTACCTATTCTTAAATGTAAAAATACAGAAATGTAGAACAGAAAAGTTTATTAAAGCCAACCTAAAACCTCGCCTTTTCTTTTAGCTATTGCGAGAGATTACGCCGAAGCGTCGCTCCCGCCGTCAGCTGGCGCAGCTGGACCAGAAGAAACCCTACATCACAGCCTGCTTCAGGCAGCTGCCGTCCAGCTTCACAGTGGGCCACGATCATCTCCACAGCAGCTGTGAGAACAAGCCTCTCGAACCAGGCCAGCAGTACGTTTTCTTCCTGCTGGTGGAACTCAACACCACCACAGGGGTGAGTCACATGAGTTTGTTTTAAAATCCTTTTTTATAAACAGAACTAACCGTGTCGCTGTAATCCTGCTTGACTAAAAACTAACTTTATTCTAATTCAATCTGGTTCTGTTTGACCAACTACACCAATCTGCTCCGTCAGTTACTAAAGCTACTCAGATGCAGATGCTCTCGTCTGCTTTTCACTAAACTTGATTTATTTTTTGTCTTTCAGAAAATGTTTGCCACCAGCCCTTACACTGATACGGTGATGACCCCTGAGCGGATGGTGGACCCCCTGCCAGTGGAGACCGGTGATGGGCTCATATGGGTGGTGGGGCCGGTCCTGGCTGTGGTCTTCATCATCTGCATTGTCATCGCTATTCTGCTTTATAAAAAGTAAGTGACCTTGATGTTAATATCTCCATTGAGGGGAATGCACTTTGACTTCCATGTCTTTCACTGCTTAAGGGTACAGTATACAGCAATTTATAAAAAGACTTTCCTAAAGAGAGAGAGAGAGCAAAAGTGATAGTTAAAATTGTAATTTATGGATTTAAATACTGCCAAATAAAGTGCAGCACCACAGATCAGCAGGCGCTCATGGCTAACCATACCATAATAACCGGCTCTGCCATGAAATTAAATCCTTACATTCAGTGGATCTTCAAGAGTTATTTTCCATTAGGTTTCGGTAAACCTTTTGAAAGAGTTAAGAGTTAGATTTATATGAGTCCCTTTACACCGCCTTTACAGCGCCATCTTCGGGGGCAGAAGGGAAACTAGTTGTTCAGAGTTTAACCCTGCATACTATATCTTTAAGTATTGTTCTGGTCAACGTCAAATAATGATAGAAAATACGACTTAACCCAAAAACAAAAAAAACAGTATTTTTTTGTTAATTAAAATAAAATAAATATAATGACTGTATTTTGCATTATTTGAAAACCTTTTTTCAGTTGTCATTTGATGTTGATTTTTTTTAACTCATGCATGCACAAGAAAGCATTATATCAGCATGATAATTTGATTATTAAAACCATTGCTACATGTGATGATGAACAATGTGGTATCAAAGACTGTAGTGGGAAATGGGAGGTGGAAAAAGGAGAGAGGAGGAGAACTTTGGAAGCAGTATTCAAGACCTTGGCAAGGAATCACATTTTTCTACTAAAATGATTTATTATTCTTTTAGAAAACAGTAACCTGATTATTACAGTTCTCTAAATTTTTCCCCTTAATATTTACAGTAATTTTGTTTAGTTTAAATGTATGTTCACTACGGGCTATTTAACTTAATATTCCCCGTAATCATATTTACCTCAAATGAGTTTATTAATAGTTTTGCAGAAGGGATTTCCCACAGTTTCTGGTAGTGGCATCTAGCTTTTATACTTAATCATGCATTACAGGAGGCAACTTCCTTCCTGTTACAAGTATAAATGAATTTACTCTTCCTCACTGTCCAGGAACATTAGATCATACATTACAGTCAATAACAACCACCACACCGCCCCCCCTCTGTACTTACTGGTATTTTGTTTAGCTTTAATGACTGCAGGTCCCTGCTCCACTCTGGTGTAAGAGGTTTTCCCCCACATGCCAGAAATGATCCTTCCATTATCTTATGTTGGAGGCGGGGCTAGTGTTGGCAACACAAAGGGGCAGCCTGTTAACTGTCAGATGATCCCTGACTGTCTGACCTTGCCTTATCTCCATCTTGGTGGTTAGGGAGAGTAACGTCTCTCCTTGGATCTGTCTTTTTTTTCTTCTTTTCTCCTCCTCTCCTCATCCTCCAGCTCCCTCTCCATCCTACCCTGGTGAATAGTGTTTTCCTCGTCTGCCCTTGGTGGTGACATTCCCTCCCCATCTGCAAATAGCTTTTGTTACTGCATAAAAACACACAAATATACCCACAAACACAGGCTCACAAATATGCTTACTTGCACATTTCATTGAATACACATTGAAACATACGCACACACACACACACACCCAAATGCTGATTAGCCTTATCTGGCATTTTGCGAGCCAAGCAGCGACCCCTGTGAATTTATACTGCTCTCTATTGATTTATCTTTCTTCTTGCCTCCCCTCCTCTCCTCTCCTTCTCTCCTTGTGTGTGTTGTGTTTTCACCATCTCTGTATATTTATCTGACATCCATTGCTTTCTCTGGAAACAGCAAACCTGACAGGTAAGGCTCAGATGCACTTTATTGCATTTTACAGGGGGAAAGCAGAATAAACAGACACAGCAAATCTGATGCCTTTAATAAGTGAGGGTGAAGGAGAGGGTTTCTTTTTTTTTTTTGCTTCCTTTTTTTTTGTTTTTTTTGCATATTTGATGCACACTGTCAGCTCCCCAATGTTCTATGCATGGTTTCACTCTGGCTGTCTAAGCCCATGGAGCTGTGGGTCAGTAAGAGAAGTTGAGATGTCAGTCTGTCCACTCACAGAACATAATTCTGTTGTTGTTTTTTTCCCCTCCTCTGGTACGTCTTTCCTTCTCTCTACTCTGTGTTTGTCTTCATCTGCAGTCGCAAAAGAAAAGAGTCAGAGCCACGCACCAAGTGTTTGCTGAACAACGCAGACATCACACCACACCACCCTACAGACCCCGTGGAGATGAGACGCATTAACTTCCAAACTGCAGGTACAGGAAAAATACACGAAAACTAAACACCAAAAAATGTTATTCTTAGCTCAAATGTCACCTTTTGAACTCTCTCTAGTTTGAAGTCTAAATGCAATGAATAAAACCAAAATGATTGGTTGTTTTTCTCGCAACTTTCAAGTCATCTGTACTACATCCTTCATGCAGCAGTCAGCACATTAACGGTGATGTCACTTCCATCGTGGCCTTCAGTCTAACCAGTGTTACAGCTGAGCACTTGAGCATTTGATTCCACACCCATTCTCTAAGGCATCTAGACTTTGTCCAGCTTCTTGTTCCTGAATTCTATCAAACCAACATTTTCCCCATTTACCTGGTAACAGGAGTTCGTTTCTACTGTTTATTTTTATTATGACAGCAGATCTGCTTTAGAAAAACCATTAAGAAGCAGTGAATTCTCCAGAGGGCCAGTGAAGAACCGTAGTTTCTTTTCTCCTATTTTTCCGTTCGCCTTCACACATTCTTGCCTATTTTTCCTTTCACCCCTCTGTCTGTCATCCATGGTCTCGGCTTCATCAAAAAGGCTCACATTTCAAAACAGGGCATTTATCTCCGGCTTCTGTCGGAGTCTAAAACTCCCGCCTTGAGTCTGAGTCGTGTACAGAAGTTACATTTTGTATAGCAGAAGAGAGACACTTGGATGGAGGGGGCTACACACTTGTCCACTTGTGCACAGGAATGTGAAGGTTTAATTTACTCTCCTCATCTTTATCTTCCCTGGTATTCGGAGTGCTATCAGTGCTTCTGTAATCACAAAGTTCTAATGGCGCTCCTGTTATTCCTCTCTCTGACTTCAAGTACTTTTCAAAGAGCCTCCGACTCCACATTCATGTGAATATTAAAAAATCCACCCTACAATCTCACGCTCTCTTTAACCTTCAACATCGGACATTATAAGTGATTTACTGCATGGGGTTAATTCTCATTTAGCAGCCACAAACCAGAAGGACCTCTGTGCCCAGGGAGTTTGATATGAACGGACATTTCAGGCCAATTAATTGGGCCGGTGAGCATTTACGAACGAACCCATCAGCTAATAGCAACCATTGTTCAAATATGCTAACTCCCAGTGCATTTTAACAAGGCTTCTGAAGCACGATGTGAACATGCACCGTAAAGACAATGTGTGCTCAATGAACCACTACTGTGGGGAAGAAAGAAATGTTTTTAGGTTTTTTACTAGTATAATCTAAGCATTGCTGATGTGTTGTGGGAGCAGCGCTGCCTCCCTCTGAGTAAATGTGCGTCCTTTTCTCTGACAGTCATGACTAATGGTTTGGGTTCAGGTTAAGATACCTAATTAAGAATAACCTTAATTCAAAGGTTGCATTTTGACTTAATATCTCTGTGCACAAAATGGACAATGCAGCTAAACAAACAAATTATAAAGGTGAACAAGAACGTGCTTCTTGGCAACAAACAGTTGAAGAGTTCTGTGATGAATTAGTGTTCGCTCATTTTCATGAATAAAACAAAGCCAAAAGAAAGACTTTATTAAAGCAGAGACTTGTTGTAGGTATTTGGCCACTTCACCGTGACTCCTTCAGCCCTGTGGAAGTCCATTATAGAATGGCTGAGAGTTGAGGAAAGTTAGAGAGAGAAAAAAAAAAACAGCTGCTCATCTAAATTTCTAGTGTTATTTCTTTAACACCACAGATCATAATAAGTTTGAGTCATGTCCATTTGAGGTGTGTGAAAGTGTGGATAAATCACGGAGAACAAAACTGTGTTTGTGCAGAGGTCTCCACAGTGACATCCCATAACTCCTCGGGGCATCAATTGGTTCTTTTCATCATTATCTTCATTGGTGCCCGGGGTTTAAAACCTCAAATGGGGCCGAAGTAATGAGGCTGCGTGACTCAGTGAATACTGTCTGTCAACCCACTGCCATTTTGGCCAGCAGGGATTTTCTCTTTTCTCATTTTTTGTTCCCTTTTTATAATTTCTTTTTTTTTTCTCATTTCATTCTGCTTTTCCCAGTGGCACGGTCAAAAGTTATGAATTTATTACAGGTGGTCATTAAAACTATTGCTACAGAAAAACTTAATAATCTATGTGAAACAATGAAATTTGCTCTTTTACCTCCTGGATGTCCACTCCACAGTATTACTTATTCTGAAATCTGTAGGAAAAAAGACATTTTTTTTATGTAGCGCCACACGCTGACATCAACAACCCACTTGTTTTGGCGACTGTAACAAGTCCGCCCTCCTCCTCAGAACCAGGTCTATGAAAACACAGTACGGCCACACACACACACACACACACATACATCCCACCCGCTGTGGTGAATGACATTTGCAGACAGGGGATCAGAGCAGCCCCCTGCTAGGTGTAATTAGTCATTGTCACGAATCAATTAGTGAGCGGGAAGGAGGTGCAACGTCTTCGTCTCTTTTTATCTGATTCGCAGCCTCTGGTCTGACGCCGTCTGGCTGACTGCTGACCTCCCCGACCTCTGGTTTTATCACAATGAGGCGTTCATGGGTCTGTGGATGTTTGAAAAACTAAATATTTTGTTTGTATTGAGGCGTTCATGGGTCTGTGGTTTGAAAAACTAAATATTTTGTTTGTAAGAACTTTTCCAGAAAGTATTTCCAGAAAAGTAACGTAAAGACGTGTGTATGATCTGCAGATCCAGATCTGTTCTATTGACATGTCCAGCCTATCACTGAGCTGAGATTCAGAACATTCACAGTATTAAACACTGTGTCTATTGTCAGCTAAAAATAAATAAATACATAAATATATGTATATATTTAAATATACATATGTATAAAATATATATTGTACATATATGTTTTCATATATACTCTATAAATATACATATATGTGTGTTGTAGAATGTGAACCAACTTTTCTGGAAAATAAGGTCTTATTTCTTTTTTTTTTTCCCAACTTCGGTACATCGTACAAATCGTTTCCGTTCACAGGATCAGTGTCGCCATCTGATGGCTGATGTGATCCTGTCTTAACACTGATCAGCGTCTTTGATCAGATCCCAGATTTCAGTCATGGCACCGTCTTCTTTCCTGGATTGGATTGAAGGGCATCTGGCCAGAATCCTTTGGCTGTGCGTTTCTCAGCCACATGTCCTGTTAACGCTGTCACAGATGGCTCCCTTCTGCATGAGCAGTTAAGGAGACCTGAGTCCACACGGACGTCACATCACCTGGCCGCAGCCTCAAAGGACTTCTCCTCTGGAGCCGATAAGACTCTGAGCCGTGGCAGCGGAGCCCAGACCTCTGACTCCCATCAACTCCGTGTCTACAGCTGTCAGCCAAGAATGTGCGAGCTTTTCTACACCTTTCACTCCTAATGCCTCAGCAGCGAGTCGCGGACAAAGAAATCATTCACAGTTGTTTTTCATCGGGAAACATAAGCCGTTTTTTTTCAGTTGCCTATCTCATTTTGATTCCTGCCGATGGAGGCCTTTCTAACTAGTGTCCATGGAGCTTAGAGACGGTAGCTTCATTTTCCCACTGATCTCTATAACGCTTGATATGGCTTTGGTGGAAGAAGTTCTGAGCAGGAACTGACAACCATCTAATCCAAGGAAGACTAACGCAGACTAGGATTTAGTTCAAGATCTTAGGCCACGCTGAAAAAAGGAAAGATTTATCCTGAAATATTGTGTATCAGGACATCCAAATAGTACACATTCTCCTTAATAATTCTTTGAAGAAAATATTTAAATATAAAGATCCATGTGTAGCTGCTAATGTTCAGACATCCTCCATTATCGTGACAGAGAGTTGTTCATACATCTGTGGAATCGTTTGTCCCTGTCAGAGGTACAGTATGTGTCATACTAGGTTTATGGTCCTTTATGATTTTTATATATTTTTTTTTATATATATATATCATTTCCCATTCTTACTTCCTGGCCATTTCTGTTGCATTTCAGCCTTTTGACTCCATGTTTCCTTTATGTTGTGCTGTTCTTCACAGATTCTGGTCTGAGCAGTCCTCAGAGTGACGCAGAGTTTGACTATGAAAGTTAGTCTCTGTGCTTTCAGCATTTGCATACCAGCTTTTTTAAACATTTTTTTTATTTTTATTTTAATAGCTTCTTTTTCTTCCCAGCACTGCTTGCCGCTATTTACAGATAGATACTTTGCATCTGTTTGTTTGGTTTTTTTTTTCACACGATGCAGCAAATCTTCTGCTCTAATTAATTCGATTTTCGGCTCCTGTTTTTTTTTATATAATTGGATGCCAGTCACAATATCCACTTGGGCTGTTGGCTATGCATTAATCCACCACGCATAAATAACCCGTGTGATCACTCGTGCTGACAGGGTTGAAATGTGTGTTTTTTTTACAGCAGAAGAGTCTTTGTTATCTACCTGCTCCTCTCTCCCCACCTTCACCTCCTCCTTTTTGTCGTATTTTTTTTTTCTCTCCACTCACTCGTCTCCTCCTTCTGCAGTACTGCTCTATTTCCCTTCTGATCTAACCAGGTCTTTTCTTTTGCTCAGTGGCAGTGAGCAGAATTAATTAAAGATGTGGCAAACAATGGTTCAACATTAGATCATCCCCATTCTCGCTCTGCACCGCAGAATAATCACCCGAGAGGGAAAAAGACAAACTCTCTGAGTTTCCATCTGTACAGTTTTTACACCTTTTCAAACCGACTTGAACGTGTTTTCTTTGAAGGGAAACCCAAAACATCAGAAATTAGCTTTGCTCGAAAAAGGAACTGCTTGAACTCATACATACAATCATCTGAAGCACAGTGAAGCGTCAGGGTCAGGAGATTGAACATGCATAAGTAAAGACCCTTTGATTCCTCTGTGTCCGTCAATCACAGTGTTGATTAGATTGGTGGAAAATGGAAGGGAAGAGTCAGGGTGACATGAAGGATGTTGGCCTGGAAATGTGAAGGCTAAGGAGTGGCCACAGTTTGTCCTTGAGTGACTTTTGCTGAGTGTAGTCAGTGCCTCCCTTTGGAACAACAGTCTGTGTAAAACAGCTTTTTACAAACAGTGTTTAGGTTTGGGAAGGACATGTTTGTATTAAGGGATCCACAGTTAGACGAGAATGGAGTGTTTAGATTTGGGAAGAAAATGTTTGTATAAAGGGATCCACAGTTAGACGAGAATGGACGAATAAAATGAATGTTACTCTAAGAGTTAAGTTCAGCCCACAGGTTCATCTCTGACCGCCGGTCATGTTGGCTGAGTTAGGAGTGAGGAAGAGCTGAAGCGGCGTACTTACAGTTTTAAATGCACCATTAGTTTGTTTAACCTGCAGCACATCCCATTATGCATCTTGGTTTATTTTGATGTTTTTGTAAACACTTTGAGCCAAATTACTTCCTCTCGAACCATGGCAGGTTTGCATACGTGCTGACTGTTCCCTAGGCGGTTAATGCAAAATCTAAGTATTTACAGAGGGTGAGGTGCATTTGTATTCCACAGTCACTCCTAACTTAACACACACAAACACAAACACACAACTTTGATCTTGGATTTTATTTTATTTTCTTAGGGAGAATTCCGAGCCTCTCATCTACATACACAGCCACGCTCCTTATTTCGCCCACTGAAACCTTCTCCCTTTTAGTTCAAGGTGAATCATCTGGAAATCAAATGACTTTTCCCTCTTTGATTTTCTACAGTAACCTCCTTAACTGTGAGGAATTAATAATAGGAATTAATAATCAAATTTGAGATGGATGGATTCCTTAAACTGTGAGGAATTAATAATTTTCCCACCTAAATATATAGATATATATGATCAAATTTGAGATGGATGGATTCCTTATTTGATGTATCCAAATTAAATGAAAAATAAAAAATAATCACCTTATACTGGAAGGAAGCAGATTTAAATGATCTGTTGGGAAGACCCTGTGCGTTTGTGGAATAATTTATCATGCTGCCTTTAAATGCAGTTCATCCATTCCAGTGTCAGGACACGGAGAGGCCGTTCAATGCAGCTGACATGTTGACGTTGTTCTGTCATTGTGAAATAAATGACCGTGACTAATGAAGATTATCTGTGCAAAGCATCGGGCCTTTGAAAAAAAAACAACCCTGTGTGATGCATTGATCTCTCATTGATGCTGAGGATTGTAAAACAGAAACATCACAGGGTAATCTGGGATGTAATTCAGATTTGTGTTTTTGGTGTTTTGTGTGTTTCTTGGTAGTTTGGTTCACGGTGGTAAGAAGTTTTTAGCAAACAGCTTGTTGCGCTTTGCTCTGACTGGCTGTTGTGGAGCAGCTCACGGTGTCACTCAGCATCACTCACACTCACGATGACTCCTCCTCCCACTCACGCCTCCCGTCACTTCACGTGATCCCCCAGGTCAGGGCTCTGTTTGTGAAAATGTGTTTAATTTTAAAGTGGAAAAAGTCAACAGTGTTTCAGTGCAGTTAGAAAGAGCATCAATGATTAGAGCTGTGGTTAAAGCAGAACTGCAGGATATTATGGGATGGATCAGATCGAGTTTATTTTTGTTCTATGACATGCTTTAAGTCACTTCATCCCTAAAAAACTCATTTTCCATTCGAAGCTGTAAAGAAACAAAAAGACAATTTACTGGCTTTGGGAAAACAACCCACAGCCAGTAAATTGGCTTTTTGTTTCTTTACCTTTTGTAAATTTTACCTTTTGTTTCCATGGGAACATTTTGATAATCTTAACATACAACTGGCTTACAGAGTAAATGGGATTGGTTTTTATTTTTATACCATCAACATATGACTCATTTATACTTTTTCAGGTCTTCTCCAGTCTTGTCATTAGATATTTCTGAGCTCTGGCCTGGTCTAATTATTTCCCCCCAAAATCACCACCACCGGATATATATTTTGCTGTGTGTCAAACATTCACCATGTCCTGCACCAGCTTCCTCACCACTAAAACGTATTTCTATTCTTACGTCAGCCGGAAACTCTCACACGCAAATGGTATTTTGTGCCATTTTTAGGCGTTTTATTTTGCGCTCTGTCTACCACACTAATTGACTCTCCCTTTTTCTCCACCTGTGTGGGCTTCTCTCGCCATTTTTGGCACAACAGGCATGATGAATCATCCTCCTATTCCTATCTCAGAGCTGGCTGAGCACACAGAGCTTCTTAAGGCCAACGACAACCTCAAGCTCTCACAGGAATATGAGGTGAGTGACCGGAGCTACGAAGTTCAAAGTTTCTTCACCATATTGATTTATTTTGGGTTGTGTTTTCGTCAAGAGGGGGCAGAAGAGACTCTTCCTTCCGTGAGCAAATTTGCTGCCTGTCAATATTTGGTCAATTTCATCATAAAGCTTTGTGTTGAGAACAGTCTTCATGATCAGACGCAGAGCATTTAACGCAAACCCCTAATCAGGTTATTAAAGTATTTTTGTAAATGCTCCCTCTAAATGTGCTCAAAATATAGGTACAAGTGCAATGCAACATTGAATGCAGCTTGACGTGATGTCACTGTAGCATTTAACGTAGTTAGTTAAAAAATACTTGATGAATGAATAGTGTCATGAGACGGGGAAAACAATCACGTAGGACAAGTTTAGATTTTTCACGTTGAATTGGTACAAAGGTACCTGGATGCCCTCAAATCATGTCAGGATTGTCAAATAATGCTTTTGTTACGAACTTACTGTGTTTCACTGAAATTCTATTCCTCCCAGAAAAAAAAAAAAAACGCCTGACTCAGTAAGAAGAAAAAAAAAATAGGAACAGCATCTCTTAACTTTGTTTCTCAATGGAGTCTCGTCTGTTGTTTGAATCTGAACTCCACTAATGTGTTTTTCGGGGAATAGCTCTCTTCGACACAGTACAACTGCGTTTGTGTGTATGTGTGTAGAAGGTAACTGAGCTGTCTGAACTCTGAGGCTGCAGCGGTTATAAATGACACTGGAGTTGATTAGAAATCAGGAGCGCTGAATCAGCTCTCGTTTGCATACAAGCAATATCCTTTCCTAAATCACCGTGCCTGTCACCTCGCTGCAAGCCGGCTAAGGTAGAAGCGGGTACACCGGCAGAGATTGCCGTCATCATGCCTGCCGATGGATGTTGTTGTATAATGACTTCTCATTGTACGCCAGTATTTCTTGGGTATCTATTATTCATAAATCCACATCTGGGCTGTGTACCAAATGAACAAGCTTGTTCCATTTGGAGGAAATAGAGAGACGAGAGCCGTGACACCAGAGTTGATGCTTTGCTACAACTTCGACTTCTAATTACTTGGCATTGAAAGAGTATTAAAACTGCCGTCTCATCTCTTCTCCGCTCTTCGCCTCTCGCTCGATCTGTGCTCCTCGCCCAGCCCCTATCCCCCTCCACCCCCCGCCCTTTTACAAAAACCACAGGAAAAATAAATGACCAAATTAAATAGAGAAGTGTAATTTTAATTTTGTTATTTTCTTGATGAATGGCTGCTCGTCCAGGGAGCCAGCCTTGCCAAGTGCAGCTCTACAGGGCTTTGACTGATTGGTATTAAGCCAAGCGAGATGTGAGACAGGAGGAGGAAAAATGGAGGGAAGAGCCGCAGGAGCAGAGGGGAGGGGGGAGAGCAGGGCGGAGGCTGGGGGAGACTTTGGTTAATAATGAGGATTCAGTGAGGGGAGATGGAGCACAGAGCAACGCTGCTGGAGAGCAGAGATGAAGAGGAGATAATCTGACATACACATGATAATAAAAAGGCTTCTCCAGTTTTTAACGGGTGAAACTGCAGCCGCATGAAGAGACGCCGCCTCGGACGAAACCACCACGTCCTGAAACCCAGCTCACATCACAGCAGTCGTCAATGATCGTTAAACATCTTATGAATTAAAGCGAACAGTGACGGCAGAGAAGTATCTGTATAATCCTAATCCATACCCCTACTCTAATCTGACCTGAGTTGTAATCCCAGTTAAATCTTAAACTTTAGGATTCACTCTCACTCAGTTTGGACCTTCTGAAAAAATGTCCCAACAAGTATAGCTATACCAGAAACACACATACTGTAAAAAAAATAAAAATACAGGATAGTAGTTGGATAAGTGCTGCATTAACAGAATTGTGAGGACAAACAAAGGACGATGGGAACGCTTTGAAGAGAAACGATAGAAGTAGACGGAGCAGATGACAACTCTGAATCTGAGCACGTGCACACAGATACACGTGAGGTTCACCGGAGAAAACCAGAAGACAAACAAACAGCAGGTGAAATGAGGCGGAGAGGAGCTCTAATAGCTGAACCCATCGCTCACAACATGGTTAGATCATATTTCCACTTGGACATCTGTCTTTGTTTAAATCCTCCACTCGGCATCTGCATGACGACGCCCAACAACAAATATTCCTCAAGCCCGTGCCTCCACACGAGCACCGCGTCTGACGCCTTTGAGTAAACAAGAAATCATAATGGAATATTTAATTTTCCCGACAAGGGAGCAGAACACTTATCTGGTGTTGTAGAGATGCAGCCACATTCCTTTTACATAACCTCCCCTCAAGGGTAAGAGCCACTGCCTCCATTAATAATATTTGTCATAATACACACACTACATTAATGAATTTGATAAAAGACCGTGTACTGCCAAAGCAGCAGGTACCAGGAAGTGTTTTTTCTATTTTTTTACCATGGTCAAATTAGCCCCCCCCCTCCCCAAACCCCTCCCCTCCTGTTTTTTCTAATGTTCAGGCTGTATAATTGCTGGGCTCCTCCCCCAGCTCTTCTGATTTCTCCTTCATTTGTGCGTGTTCTGTCTGTCTCTGTCTCCTTCAGTCTATTGATCCCGGCCAGCAGTTCACCTGGGAACACTCCAATCTGGAGGTAAACAAGCCCAAAAATCGTTACGCCAACGTCATCGCCTACGACCACTCCCGTGTCATCCTGGCTCCCATCGACGGTAAGGCCCGGCCAAACCCCACACATCTTCACCTTCACCACCGCAGAGGGAAGAGAAAAGAAGTTCCATTTCATTTTAGCTATAATCTTTTTTTTTTTTTTTACCGAACAGAGAGGAACTAGAACAGATGGTACGGCAGGAAGACGGAACAGAAACATCAGAGTGAAACGATATACACTAAATACAGTCTCTACAATAACAACCTGGCTTTAATTTACTGTAAAAAAAAGAAAAGTAAAGACAAAATATAATATAATATTTTAAAATATAATCTCTAAAAATTAAAAAAAATCTAATCAAAATATTAATATTTTAATAAATGCAATTTAATAAAATACATTAGAAATATGTATATAAAAATAATTAAAGTGTAGTTAAAAGTGTGATTAAAAACATTAAAAAAATTATAAAAAAAACAAATCTGTTTTTTTTTTTACCTTCTAGCACTTTATTCATAAGACAAAAGGACAAAAACTCTCTCTGCTACTGGGCTGGGATTTCCATCAGTATCCAACGCCAAGACTGCAGTAAGAGGCCAGTCAGAACAATTCACTTCACGTGAAGTTCAAAGTCAATTTGGCCCAATTGAATTGTCAGGAAACTATAAATTTGTGGAATAAAACTGATTCTGTTGACAGCTAAAGTGAGGATTTCACCTTAACTCGGTCCTGAGCAGCTGAGGACTTTAACCAATCAGATTATTTCCTGGGGTGATTTGTTTCGTGCTCATCTTTGGTTCCATTTTTATCATGTTCTCAGTGAGTGGCTCAGGAGTTTAACCAGTGTTTTGTTTTTTTTTTCTGTTCTATTTGTCTTGTCAAATCTGTCATGTCACGACTCTCACTCTCTCCCTCTCTCTTTCTCTCCCTCCCCCTTTCTCTCTAACTGGCCGTAGACTGAATCAGAGCCAGTAAACGTCGTTCTCTGGTTGTTAAATCCCAGGGGACATTGTCAGACGTTGTCACCCTTTACTGCTGACAGTGTTCCGGTGTTGCATCACTCTCGACTCCTCAGTCACTCACTCACTTTCGTGCCAAACTCCTAGCACTTTATTTATTTATTTTTTATGTGAGCTAACTGTTCTGACTCTGTTTCAGCAGCTCACAACAGTCAGGCCAATTTGAGGGAACTGAATGTGCATAACAATATTATCCCTAGGAAAGAAAAAAAACTGTGCGTCTTGCACATAAATACATAAATTAATCAAGTCTGAAATTTCTATTTTACACTGCAGTAACTCTGCCATTAGTCGCAGCAGAAGAACAATTCAAGCACGCCGCCTTTCTCTGTTCACTTACCTATGACTAAACAAGGCAGCACAGTCAGAGTGTTCGACGTGGAAGTGGTTTTAATGACATGGAGGGTTTTTATATATATATATTATTGTCATTATTCCTGTTTTGTTTCCATCCTTCTCTTCTCAGTACCTCTTCCACAGTCTCAGTTTTTTTTTCTCTCTTTCTCCGTCAAACTCCTCTCCACCTTTGTTGCTGTTGTCTCTGTCTCCTCTTTCACTTGAATCCAGTCAAGGGCTGTTGTTTTTTTGTTTTTGTTGTTGTGCTTGACTGAAGAGATGTCAGTCAAGAAGATGTGACCGTTTTTTATGGATAGATATTGAAAACTCTCACAGCTGAAATATCATATATCTACTACTTTACTGTTCATAGATATTACTACAATTATGTATTTATGTATCAACAGTCATTGCTCATCTTGTATGACTTAAAAATTCTGATTTTATTTCAAAATATTATTTTTATTCAAAGATTTTCCAATTTGTTTTTAAAGTTCTGTTACTTTTTTCTTTTATTCAGCTGCGAATATTCACATCCCAAACCTTGTTTTGTTTGTATCCAGGTATCACCGGCAGCGACTACATCAACGCCAACTACATTGACGGTTACAGGAAGCAGAACGCCTACATCGCCACACAGGGTCCTTTATCAGAGACGTTCGGAGACTTCTGGAGGATGGTGTGGGAACAGAGGGCAGCCACTGTGGTCATGATGACCAGACTGGAGGAGAAGTCACGGGTGAGTCCATCCTGCCAAGTTCAGCAGAAACGCCGGGCAGAGCTCAGACGGGTTTCCTCCAGTTCACCACTTTATTATTCTGCTTTTTAACTTAGACCTCAAATAATTGAGAGAGACTGAGCCCGAGAACCAGCTGCTGAAAATGGCACAGCTTTGCATTGATTTCCCCTGTTGCGTACCTGAATGTCATGGGCAGCACAGTTGGTTTGGCTTTTCTCTTTCTATTTGCTGAAGAAACTTTGAGCTATTGCGAGTTTTCCACAGTGATCTGGGAAAGTTTGAGTTCTCCAAGTACACAGTGCAGGGATATAAAATTAAATATAGGGTGTGGAGCACCATTGAGGGTTTTTTTATTTTTTTTATTTCTTCTTACACTTGTGACCAGTCCTTCTGTTTACACCCTTCAACCGACAGATGGGAGTGGAAGGAGGCAGAAAGTTGCCCAGAAAAACAGGTTGAAGTGAATAATTTCAGAAATAAATGAAACGTCATTTATTCTGAGTTCCGTTTTATTTGTCTTTTCGTACAGTTCTGTTCAGCAGAGATGACAGACTTGTGTTCTTGGCCTATGGGTTTTTTGTTTAATACTGTATATAAAAAGTATATGTGCATGACACAAACACATTCTATTTGTTATAACCTGTGAGTTTTACACCTATCAGATGGTAAACAGTGTGAGAGAATCACAGCCTCTGCTGTGAAAACAGAACAAAACAGAAAAGCTGTCTTAAGTATTCGAAGAATTGGAAAGTAGTCATGTTCGCCAGCAGTAATAACCACCTGTCATAACTGTTTCTAAGTTCAAATAAATCAAGAAAAAAAAATGAAATGGAGCCAAATAGCGTGAGCGCATCCGGAAGAAAACATCTATGGGAATAATGTTCTCGGCGGCAGAGCAGTGGACTTAAATGTCAAAAAGCCAGCTACGGTGTTTCATCCTGTCAACTCAAACCTATGTCAACATCGGGTACATTAACCCCAGGTGTCTCCACTCATTTTCACTCCCTGTATCTAGTTCCACTTGTTTCCCTTTCCGGCATGCTGGCACGCACGTTCCTCTGCTGTCAAACGTGATCAGGATTGCGGAGGTGAAGTAGAACTTCAGTGTCAGCACGAGCAGGAAATGGAAGAGAAAGTTGTTGTGCAGTGCATCTCCCTCAGCTGCTGTCACATCGTATCAGCTGTCGGCTGGCAATTCACATTCACTGTAATGAACGACTCGTTTCGACGGAGCCCAGTAAAAGTCGGTGCAATTACAATTAAAATAAATTCAGAGAGTTTTTGTGCGAGATGATTTCTGAATTGAAAAATATTTGGATTACATTATTAAAAAAATTTGATAAATGACTTAATGGCTGTGCTGGCCTTATCACTTGTATACAGCTGTTTGCTGATGACACCACTCTTATTTATGGAACACAACGTGCAAAAAAAAAAAAAAAAGGGAAACAGTAGATGGTGACAAAGCAGACATCATCTACGTGTTTGGCCACCAGTTTCCATCATCACAGTCACAGTAAGCTGCTTCAGGTTCCTGAGAGGAAATCAACATGAAGCTCATCCTGTTTCATTATTCAGATGGCAAATTCCATCCTTCCAAGACAGCAGCTATTTCTACTGCTGGGCTGAAGGAGGTGACTGTCGTCAGGGACCTTGATGAGCTCCAGATAGGAGAAGCAGCAGATCTTGACTTTAACCTTAAACCAGAGACAACAGGTTCAGAGGTTTCAGCTGCCAGATTTCACCACATTTCCTGAATTCCTGACACACCTGTTCACTGGTGTTTATCACTTTGAGAAATGAAGAGTATCCACCTTGGTGTTTCTGTCTGCACTGCCTGATGTTTTAATCCACAGGGGGTTTATTATGAGTATTAAATGAACTCAAACAGTGCATCGGTGTTGAAAAGGAAAACATGTTTGGTGTGTTTTGCCCGACTTTATATTCATATGTCTATTTTGCATATATTTGAAACAATTTATTATTATAATTAAACACACTGTGTCTAACATTCAGTTCATCTGTTTCTCTCAGATTAAATGTGACCAGTACTGGCCAAGTCGTGGCACAGAAACGTATGGAATGACCCAAGTGACTCTGCTGGACACGATAGAACTAGCCACTTTCTGCGTCCGCACTTTCTCCTTGCACAAGGTATGATGATTTTCTTCTTTGTCGGTAAAACCGTGTGTTACTGTTTTATCAATCTGTAATATTTTATTTTGTGGAGTGGTGCATTTCCCTGTCAAGCATCCAGTCTGTGTTCAGTACATTCTGCCGTAAAAAGAAGCCATCTGGACTTTTTGAAAGTCATCAAAACCATCCTTTTATTTTTTTTAATCGTTTATTTCTGCTTTATCAACCAAAACCGAAAAGAAGCAGAAAATAAATGGTTCACGGAACTCACTCTGAGGGACAACAATGTCAAGGACTTGTTGCTCAATTTCATATTTATTTCAGTAAATGTGATATCCCTTTACACAGCCTTTCAAGGACAGTTCTTTTAATGAATAGTTTATATAAAAAAAATACTAGGCCACTTGAATTTGTATTTTTAGTTTGGCTCATTGCAGTGTTGATTGGCCGTTGACATTCACATAAATTAGTTTTCGTTTTATTACGTTTGAGTAGCAGGATGCATTTCATAAACTCTCACTGACTGTTGTGTTAATTCACAGAAGACAAATGTAATAAATGATCTTTAAAAACACAAATGCAGATATTTTTTAAAAAAATACTCAAACAGTTTACAAAGCATTTGATCTGAATTGATAATGACTTTTACGTTTTTGTGAAAGCGTCCGACACAACGTTTGCCTCTTTTACAAAAGTGCACACAGTTTTTCTTCAGTTTAATGTAAAAATATGCAGAGATTTTGTCCTCATTGTCCTTCCATCGCATCGCTCTCACCTTGTTCCGCTCTCCCTCTCCTCCGTAGATCATCTGTTTATGCGCATCTGCCAAATTAGAGCACTTAGGTAAAGTGAGCACAAGAGAAACTCAATATGCATAATTGGCACACTGCTCTTATGCCACATTCACACACATAAAGACACACACACACACACACACACACTCGAGTACACAGAGATGAAATATTCTCCAGAGAAAGCCCATATGCACATACATGCAAGCTCACGTGCACATAAAAAAAAAAATCCAATGCATTTACATAGCTCGGCACAGATGCATAAATATGATGTCATACGGACATAAACCATGATTAAAGTGCATGTAAATACACACACACAGAAGCACAACGAACACAAAAGCACGGCGGAACACATCTACATGCACATCCACTCTCTCACCGACCGTATCGCTCTCCTCACGGTCGTGCAAACGCAATTTATGGGCCATCAAAAGATTTTTGTTTGTTTTGGGGTTTTTTCTGTTAAAACCATAGAACGTCAGCTGCTCTGTATTTTATATATTAAGTGAGAGAGCAACAAAGCGAACCATTGACTGTGAAGACGCTACGACAGCGGCAGCTTTATGGAGCCGAGGAGCTGGCTGGTTGACATTCAGACTCATTTACATTCTGCAGCCTCCATCAGACAACTGATAAGATTCCTTCATGACATATCTTCTTCCTCATCCCTATGAAAGCAGTCGGTGCCGCAAAGTCTCACTCGGCTGTTTCCATTTTCTAATCTCTGGGAGAAAAAAAAATATCCTTGGATTTGTTTGAAGTTTGTACATAAATGAGGTCTTTAGAAAAACATAGGAAATATTAACACGGCAGCAATCACTCCTACTGTCTTCCACGAGTAGAGCCAGGTGATGTTCAGAGTGAAAAAATAGATACGTATCAGAAGTATGATAGGTCAGATTTATTTTAATTACTACACTCATTTATTCATTTATTCAGCAAGAAACGAGTCTTTCTGTCAGGCAGGCAGGAGCTCCTCATTGATATGCCAACTGTACCTGCATTAGATCATCTTGAGAGAGGAGAGGAGAGGAGAGAAGAGGAGAGAATTATGCAAGGGAGTGCTTTTCCTTTCTTTATACTCATCCTTCTCAAAGTCTTCCTCTGGATCTCAGCTGGTGTCTTTGATGCCTTGAGAGCTGTGTTGGAGTCTGGAGCTGACAGGGAGCCGGGTAATGGCGGGGTCTGCTGCATGTATCTGCAGGTGTTCTGAAGCAGGAACATGTGAATATAAAGATGTTCCTCCGCTGCCTCCTATAGATATGATTGCATCATTTGATCAGCCGCAAGAGTCTCATTTTAGGAGAGTTACACCCATTTTAATGATGCTGCAGCAGTCGGTGATTCACGCTGTGTTTCACCCAACCATCCTGGTGAATGGGAGTGGGCGTATCTCCTAAAATAGTCGAAGGTCGAGTCTGCAGCATTTTTCTCTTACTATTTATAAATGTAAGGAGGCTATGAAAGCAGAGGTAATGACCTGGTACCTCCACCAGGGGCAGAACACAGCATGACCTCATTATAGACATGACTGAGTTAGCAGGTAATCACAGCAGGACAGACGGATGCAACGCTGCACTTCTCTCGGTCCTTGTACTCATTGTAGCCGCAGGAGTAACGGGTATAACCTTACAACGAAGAACTTTGACTCCACAGAACTGCACCAACCACCAACAGAACAGAAGGGCGTCACTGTGAAAGAATGCACCACCTAGTGGCCCTGGGATTTTCTGAAAAACATTCCCGCTTACCTTTGTTCCAGTATGAGCCCATCAGAGTGATGTCACTAACCAACCTTCTCTCCCCTCGTCTCTTCGTACCTCAGAATGGCTCTAGTGAGAAGCGGGAGGTTCGTCAGTTCCAGTTCACGGCGTGGCCTGATCACGGTGTTCCAGAATATCCAACCCCCTTCCTGGCGTTCCTCCGTAGAGTGAAGACCTGTAACCCACCTGACGCAGGCCCCATCATCGCTCACTGCAGGTAATTTCTAAAGTTAAGAGGTGGTCCAATAGCACTCCACTGATTCTATATTCCAAACCGAAACACTTTCCACATCATGAGCCTTATCATAGATCTCTATAAGATGTATAATACAGTATATTTCAATTGCTTTAAATTGTAATTCCTTTCTCCCTGCCCCGCCCTTCTGCTCTTTTACATTTTATTGCTAAATGAAAAGCTTCTTTAAAAATATAACTATTTAAATGTAACCTTAAACATTTCATTTTGCCACGACGACGTCTAGTCACCATTACACTCCTTTTGTGGTGCAGTTATTTTCGGTTTGTTCTTTATTCCCTCTTTAGCCATTACGATATTTCTCTCCGTTGTGCTCTCCTACTCAATTATTTAAACCATAATGCCACAACAAATTTACAAGCACTACTGGACATACATAATCAGCTTCTGCTTTAATATTTTAACAGGGAGAATGACTGTAAATTACAGTTAAAGCCCAGCAACATAATTGTGACAAGGCCCCGTATTAGGGCAACAAATATTTCCTGCTGCGGCGCCACCTCAGGGCTTTAAAAATAAAAACATTTTATGCGTGTGTCTTCCTTTAAACTTTAAATTTCACTCCTTCCCTATAAATCCTCCCGCAGCGCCGGAGTCGGGCGGACGGGCTGCTTCATCGTCATCGACGCCATGCTTGAGCGTATCAAGCACGAGAAGACGGTCGACATTTACGGCCACGTGACGCTGATGCGGTCACAGCGGAACTACATGGTGCAGACGGAGGACCAGTACAGCTTCATCCACGATGCCCTGCTGGAGGCAGTGGCCTGTGGCAACACTGAGGTGGCCGCCAGGAGCCTCTATTCCTACATCCAGAAGCTGGCCCAGGTTGAGAGCGGAGAGCATGTCACTGGCATGGAGCTGGAATTCAAGGTACATCAAACAGTGGGGTAACTTTAATGTCTATGTGTAAGAGGGGTTTTACTTTACTGAGTGAAAAACATGGACTCAGATTATCTGTTTTTAAAGTCGCTTAATAAGCGTCATGAATTCTACACTAAATTTCTATAGATAATTCAATTGTCTTTCAGATTTATCTACGTCAGTATTTGATGGTATTTAATAGCGGGTGGCGGTAATTACTTTTGGAATTATGACCCGTCGTGTCACAGCTCTTGACCGGCAAATGTAAGGGTTTTTTCAGTTTCTGGCAACTGTGAAACTAAATGGACGGACAAAGACACAAAATGGATGATTAAAGAAGTCTGTTGGGGAAACAGGAGAGAAATGTTTGAGCTGGGCAAGGATGCAGTTCACAGAACGTCCTGATGTTAAACAACAGGCATTATGTGTGTCTCTTTAAGTAGATTTTTTTTTGGGGGGGGGGGTTCAGATTCAAATCTTTTACAGAGTTCTCATCCTGACTTTGTGTTGTTTGCCGTGATTATAGGGTGAAAAAAAGGGCAAAATCATTTGTAGCCTCACTTCAGTAACTTAATCATTTGCTCCTACGATGTAATAAGCTGGTAAATTGAATTGCCCACTGCTTTGGTTCCGTTAATGTTCCTGAATATGTAATAATATGCTCAAGCAAAGAGACTCTTTTTAATCTTTCATGCGTGAGACAAATGAGTTCTGGCTGCAGTGCAGCTCAAACCTGAACGTAGTTGCGTATTAAATGACTGATTCATGTCCAGGCTAACAGTGAAAATTGACAAATTGAAAGTGTGTTTTTATACAAACTGATGATGGAGACAAACGTTTTTTATATAAGAAGCATGATGAAAACATTTATTTTTAATGACAGGTTCTTTTTTCTTTTTTTTTCTTTTTATGGACAATGACAAATGTAATAACTACTGCCTCGCCCTCCAAATGCTGACCTGCTTAAACAAGAAAAACAAGAACTCTGAGTTGCCCTGAGCAGTGTGCAGCTTGTTGTGATGATGAGAGTAGGAGTAATAAGTAAAAGTATGATTATTTGGTACTGGGCCTCCCTACTACAAACACAACTGGTCTGCCTGCAGTCCACATCTGTCCATGACGGCACCTGGATGAGTCCCTTCTCAGTGCTGCTACATCACTACATCCACAGATGATCAGTCTTCTTACCTCCATTCATCACTCCGTACCCCCGACATGAAACGATAATACTGCTGCTGTGTCCCCCTCTCTTTCCCAGCAGTACACAGTGGTGATGGAATCTCCATGGTCATCTGCAACAGGGATAGTGCTGAGCTGGCGTAAGGAGTCAAAACTCAATTAATAACATCCAGACTATAGTCAGGACAAAAAAGAGTCTGTGTCTGTGAGGAGGATCTGGGGCTGAGGAAGTAATTAATTCTTGATTATGAAGAATGGAGGTGGACACCAGGGCGAACAGAGGGAAGGAGGTTTAGCTAATGGGAAGAGGACAACTGTATGCTAACGTGGCGCTAAATGATTCCACAGAATGCAGCGTTAAAGTGACAGTGATGGCCAATGTCATTCTCAGCAGGGAAACTCTGTCCCGCTGAGTTAAATTGTGACTCGTGGGGTTTCGATGGAGCTCAAGTGGCAGATCGAACCTAGAAGAGGAAGACAGACCTGGGGGGGGTCGCTTCTTTATGCATGCCTGAATAACAAGCATGTTTCAAGAAAGATTTATGCACAGGAAACGTGTGTTTCCACAACCTATGTGCAGAGAGTCTTCAGAAACACAACAGGACAGGAATCACAAAAACAGAAATACGTTACTAGGATTCACTTTAAATAAAACAGCAAAGACATGATTTACATTCTGAGAAGGTTGTTGGAGTGATCCCGATCCAAACACGGAAACAACTCCCACAAAATAAAACAAAAGTTGAAATGTTCCAACACTCAAGACATTTGAATGAAGTTATTCATTTTCTATTGCTTATCACTGAGGGGCCACATATGGAGACAAAGATGTGCTGTTTTTGTTACAGCACATATGTTACATCAGTAATTCTCATGACCATACAAAACTGTCATGAATAGTTTTGTGAAACCTTCATTGTTTCGTTTAGTTGAACACAACCCCGTCATCCTGTCAGGAATTGCAGAAATACACACATGATCGCCTTCAATAAGACTGAGTCTCTCACTTTTTTTATTTTTTAAAGCCATTTGCTACCATCTAGTGGTGAGGGTTTAGTGACTATTTAGTCATTCTCACAGTGGTTTGGAATCAGCAGTTTAGAGTACAACGAACGTAACAGCCCTGATATAGAGGAGACAGAGAATCAATCCACCATGTGGTCCTTGTATTGACTTGTTGGTCCTTGAAAAACATAAGCACAGAAACAGAAGTCAAGATGTCAAGATGAAAGATCGGGATCAGGATCAAATAAATCAGGACAACGGTCATCAGCTGTTTTGCCTTGACATGAGAAGAAAGTCACACACATTTGAACAGGGCAGGCCGAGCTGGTACAGACGTCTAGTCATCACGCCTCATGGACAGTTCCCTCAGGAGGTGCTTCAGGCATGCTGATCTGAAAGGAGACCCCGGGGCAGATGGGCTGAAGAGATCACGTCTCAGCTGGGTTAGGAAAACTCTGGCATCCCGCTCAGTGGAAGTGGATTGGTGAAGGGGCTCCTGGGTGAGAGGGTGGCTATGGCAGGAAAGGTCGAGGCTAAATTTAATTGCTGTCAATTTCCTGTGAAGACCACTCATGTCAGTGCTGTAAATGCATCATCTGTGTGGAAAAGATATCATCAGATACTGGTAGATCTAAAAAAATAATAATCTGCTGCACTCAGGCCCTTGTTTTTGACCATCGTGCTAAACTAAATATTAAAATCCAAATTTTATTATGTATATTTATTCAAACTGTAATAAATAAAACATGTCAACTTGGTCTTTCTTTAGTAAACCAACATTTCTAGAAACAGAGATTGTGTAGTTTTCAAGATATACCGCACTTTAATGGTAAAGAACTGGCCGCAGCCACGACTGCAGGTACTCTGTGTGCTGCGCTGCCCTGCTGGATGACGGACTCCTGGGTTCGACTTTGTTCCCTGCTCAGTCTGGTTCTGCAGCTTCAACCTTGTCTGTTTTTCCAGGCCAACTCCAGCCTTTCCAGGTATCTTTTTGAAACAAAGATCAAAAAGCGGAACAGTACCGGAGGGTGAAAATGAGGGAGAAAGGGGGCGGAGGGGGTGAGGGATGACATGATCTTGGCACATGCCAAGCAGCCACTGACCAGGAGATACCGGTGAAGGAGAAAGAGAAATGAATATGACAGGAAATGTGAGAAAGTGGAGGTGTGAGAGGAAGGGCTTTTGATAAGAAATGACAGGACAGGAAGTGGAGGAAATATCTCTACTCCCTCTGCGGTGGATGCGGTGGCTCATCTTTCTCTCACTTGTCTCTCGCAAGGCAGTCAGTGTGAGTGCATCGTGTTTTCCTCTGTCTAAAATAGCCCTAAATAATCACATATGGGTGATTTCAATTTGCACACACACACACACACACATACACAGACAAAGTCTTAGTTGAGACACTGAAGCCAAAAGGAGGAGATCTGTCAACTTGCTGACCCACAAACTCCCACTCAAGTCTATCTGACGATGATGTAGCAGTACAGCTTTTCATGTTGGTTGTGAAGCACTGTGTGTGTGTGTGTGTTTCTTTCGGAACATCTCTGTGTGAGCCTGTGTGTTTTGCCCACTTTGTACTGTGGTGACCCAGTTACAGACAAGTTTTCTGTTTTCCACAGTGTCGGTGCAGAGTCTTGTTAGTCTGGCTGTGGGTGTCATGTTTCATATCCTTTGACCCTGCAGGGCTGCAGACGTCAGATAGGAGATAACATTGAAAACAGTATTTCTGATAAGCCTGTTTTTGATAAACAATGTGGTGGTGTTAGTGGTTGGAGCCGAGCGAAGCATCAGTTCAGATTAAATCTCTCTTTTTTATCACCGATATTCTCTTCATCCTTTCACACTTTCCCCCTTCCCTGTGTCATCCTCTCTTGGCTCCTTTACTCCAGAGTCTTTCTCTTTTTATTCATTTTTGTCAGTCATAATTGCTGTGACATTTTCCAATTTCTCTTCTTTTTTTTTTTCTCCCCAGCGTTTGGCCAACTCCAAAGCTCACACCTCACGTTTCATCAGTGCCAACATTCCCTATAACAAGTTCAAGAACCGACTGGTCAACATCATGCCCTACGAGACCTCACGCGTCAGCCTTCAGCCAATAAGAGGCGTGGAAGGATCTGATTACATCAATGCTAGTTTCATTGATGGATACAGGTGGGAGTCTACAGTGACTGTGTTTTTACTGCTCTGTTACTCTTTACAAGAGTCTCCAAGTGGAATACAAGGTTGATTTTTTTTTTCTCTAAATGATGCTGACTAATAAGACGAGCTTGTTTTTTTCATTGTATTTGCAGGCAACAGAGGGCCTACATTGCCACACAGGGACCTCTGGCAGAGACCACAGAAGACTTCTGGAGAATGCTCTGGGAGAACAATTCAACCATTGTAGTCATGTTGACCAAACTGAGAGAGATGGGACGGGTAAGACCAGAGCACGACTACACTGACATGCATTCAGATACATTTTTTACCTGCAGTGTTTCAAATGATTTATGTCAACATAACGTGACGTTAAAGTACACATTTCAGGTTATTTTCTGTTTGCGTGCCCAAACAGGAAAAATGTCACCAGTACTGGCCCGCTGAGCGCTCCGCCCGGTATCAGTACTTTGTGGTGGATCCCATGGCGGAGTACAACATGCCCCAGTACATCCTCAGAGAGTTCAAGGTCACGGATGCCAGGGTAAGACATACTAAAATGTTGCTTAGCGTGGACTTGATATTGTATTGTCACCTCTACTCTCTTTGGTGGCCGCGATCAATAATTTCATCATGATTCAGATAAGCTTTGTATTGATTTGTTATCAGAACTCTTTAGGTGTCACTGCCGTTCACTTTAAAGAACACAGAGTGCTGCAGCAGCTCATCAGCAGTTTCTACCATTGTATTATGTCTGGAATAGCCATAGAATGATGCTGTATGTCCTGGTAATCTGACGGCTGCAGTGTGACTGGTGCGACACTATTTGTTTTTGTTTTTCTTGAGAATTTCTCCAGAATGAGGAATACCAAATCAAAATGTTGCTGCAGTGTGGCAAAATTTTATTTGTTTTAATTAAAAGGTGCCAGACTGACGGATGATCCGGAGAATTTTGCAAATTTTCTTTTTCTTCTCTTTTAATTCCAAGTGATGCTAATTTTGGCTTCTTTTTCTTATCAAGATACATGACAATCAACATGATATTTAAATGTTCCAATACTGCATTCTAAGAGAGATGAGAAAATTATGAATATACAAATAAATTACATATACACATATATATGCATATAAATATATAATGTATCTATATATGAATGAATATTTGTGACTATTGTAGCATCCTATTTTATTGTAAAGCTTCATATTTAGTCAATGTTGTCCTTTTCCCGTAGCAAAGAAGTAATTATATAAATAATATCTGTTTTGTGTTTATATAACACCCAATTGACAACAGCGTGGACCTGCAAAACGCAATAGCGTTCCAACAAATGTCCCCGCGAGTATAGCAATATCACACACACACACACAGATCCACATCTTGTCATTTATATACAAAACCTGAAAACAAAACCATAGATTGTCTGGTTTTCCTCTGTTCTTCCTCATGTGTTTTATTACTGAATCACACGTGGACACTCTTTAATAACAAACACTAATTCTTCAAGACTAATTGGTTTCCCTCACTGATAAAGCCTGGATTCACGCATGCACATGAGGCCAGTGTTATGGATGGTGTTGGTGTTTTGGACCGTTTTTAAAGGGGACTAAATCATCAAAGCACACAGTGGAGTCAGACAGACTGTCAGCCGCGATCAGAGTCAAGGCTACAGGAGCGCAGAGAAAAAGGCAAAAGAGAGAGAAAATACTTAACAATCTGTGCACAATCTGAATCTGATGTTAAAGTGAGGTCAGTGTGGATTGTTAGGAGGCGCTGCATGTGAAGTGGCCTCTGCATTGTGTGTAGATTTAAAGGGTTTTAAGTCCATCTCACTGATGATGTATGCATGCGACAGTGTGTAAGTGTAAACTAGGTTTAACCCTAACGTGTCATACATCAGATCTGCACGCGCCGCGCTGTGTTTGTGCACGTGCACGCCCGTGCCTGTGGGTTGCATGCCTCTGCACAGTAATACCACGGACTCCACGCCTCAGCACTCACATCTTTGGAGCCAGTCACGTATTTAATCACACAATTTGACACGCCGCGTGGGCCCCTAGGTTGTGTGTAAAATTCCCCCCCTCCGCCCCCCCCATTCTGTCTTTCTTTCTTCGCCTGGTTCATTTTGTTGTTGTCTTTGCCCCTCTTTCATATTTAATCCCCCTGCTGAGGCACAATGTTTCTGTGATGAAAAACAAAGTCAAGGGAAGAAAAGCAAACATGCAATGCATCATAAAACACCAGAAGAGACATGAGATGTTGTACAAATAGAGTTTGTAGATGACGTTTAAATTGCGGGTGTTTAAATTGCTGCATTCGTCAAATATAATAATGTGGCAAAATACAATTTGTTGGCACTGATGGGAAATCAAATCGGCAGAGGAGACAGCGGCACTAAATAAAAGTGCCGCAGACGGCGACAAGAGCTCCCTCAGAGCTGAAGGATTAAAACAAAAATAGATGAAGTGAACACACAACTGTAAATTTATAGTTTGTTACAGTTCAGTTGCATGTCAGCTTTACAGCAGTCTGGCAAGGAAGTCAAAACTCTAGATCTTTTATATCAAAAAATCATCAGTACCACTGCTGGCCATCAGGGGCTGTCTTCTGTTTACAAATAATGATGCTAATTTGTTAAATTCACTAATGAATAATTAGTTTGGTTAAAGATATTGACCTTTAAATTAATACATTTGTTCTTAACAAGGAAAAAGTCAATAATCATTGACCAGTGTTCCTTTGGGACGTCAACAAATCACCTTGCTTTATCAGCCGTTTTCCACCAAATAGGATTGCAATTCACCAAACTGACATAGATTTCAACACTACAGAAGACTTCCTTTTAGTGAATCAAATTATAAACACTTTTTCAAGCATTTTCCCAGTCTCCCCTGATGACAGTAATTGGCTCCGCCCAAAGTCTGTTTTTAATGTAGAGCACTAGAGAGAGTTTTCAATTTAAAGAAGTCATTTGTTAGATTAGCCCTTTATCACCATGGCCAAAAAACAAACCAGATTAATTAGTTTTATTGAAACTGATAATTAAATGTGTGAGAGCTGACAGGGATGGATGGTAACCTGAAGGAAGAGGGGGAAAATATGAACTGTGTTTACTCAGCAGGCAGAGTGGGCAGCGTGTGATCATCAGCTGCCTGATTAATTCTTCAGAGTGGAGGAGCTCGTCCAATTGCTTGACATTTGAAAGAATCTAATTCCAGCGACAAACGTGTCCAGCATCAGTAACAGTCGCTCTCCGTCAGGTCCCTTACTCAAAGAGAAGAGGGTTCGCAGCCGTTATGACGTTGAGATCTAATTTTTTGGCTCACTTTGTGGATTAAATTTCATTTATTTTTTTCATTGTCATCAGCTACCTGCTGCTCAGGAATGAGGTCCGAGTCTGAGCGTTCATCCAAATAAGTCGAGGTAGTTTGGAGAGAGAGAAAAAAAGGGACGCAATTGTGAACGAATGACACTGTTACATCTGGATGAAAGTCTGTGTCTCAGAGTACGGAGAACCATCAGGAGAAGATGGAGAAGATCAACACCCGGCCGTCTTACTGCTGCCACTGAATCTGTGTCTCAAAGTACAAAAATGCTTCTCACGGTTCCTTGGGAAATTGTTTTCTCAGCCACGTCTTGAACAGACTTCCTTCAGAGGGAAAAAAACAAAACAAACCTATTGACAGTGCATTTTCAGAATCATTTTTGAATCAAAATAATTCACCCACTTACTCGCCCACTCCGATACTGCTGTGTTTTCAGCCAGAAAACATGTCTCCACTGTCTCCACTGAGCCTCCTACTCCTAATTCAACTTTATCAGAATTAATGTGCGATTAAATGCTTACTGACATTTTGTGCAGCAGCCATGTCAGCGTGTACGAGTTCCTCTTCTCAGTTTTCACCCTCCGACTCCGCCTCCCGTTAGTTAAGTCCTCCACTCTCCTCCTGCTCCGGCTCATCCATCAGGCACTCGCATCGATCGCATCGCAGGATTATCCTATTCAACATGGTGTCTGGGAGAAGACGCTTTTCATGGCAGATACACTATTGATTAGCTTTAAGTAGGACCCACTCATGGCACACACACACACACACACACACAACAAATAATTGACGGGGAAGAAAATCACAACAGCACGGGTTGGTTTGGAGTTAGTGAAGTGATGGACACCTTGTCCCTTTGTTGTGTCATTTTGTCTTGTTTTTATTTTTCTACCTACAAAGGACTTGATAAACACAAACACACAGTTTTCCCCTCAAAGGCCTTATATAATTGTGTTGCGTTGTTCAGTGGTGTCGAGAATAATTCAATTACGGTAAGCAGAATTCAAACGCGGATCGCTTTGGTTGGAAGAAAACCCCACAAGACAAGACGAATGTCTCTGGATGTTAGTCCTGTTGTAATGCCAAGGAGGAGTGCCCATCATCTCTGTCTCCTTTAGACACGCTCTTCATTTCTGCTTCTCTTTTCTCAGTCCTCATTGTGTGTTTGCCTCTGTGTTTGCAGGATGGCCAGTCAAGGACAGTAAGGCAGTTCCAGTTCACCGATTGGCCAGAGCAAGGCGTCCCCAAATCTGGCGAGGGATTCATCGATTTTATCGGCCAGGTCCATAAAACCAAGGAGCAGTTTGGACAGGACGGACCAATCTCTGTCCACTGCAGGTACTGCCCACCGGTGTCATGTCGTACCATGAGTGTTCATTGATGTAGTTTTCTTGAAAGGTGACGTGTCGCAGCAGCAGGGACTGTGACATGGTTCACCCCAGACTGCGGTCCAAAGACACTGGCAAACCCCACTGTGATGGTCCCTTAATGATTGAAGGCACAGCACCTCCTGTGGTGCATTTGTAACAGCACATTTAGAATTGATAGCCTGTCTATTCTTACACACAGAGGCACACACTACTACACCCTGCACCTCCACAGACCCCTCTCCTCCATAATTGATAAAGCTGAGATGCAGCTTGGCATTTACAAAGAGGAGGCGCCTGGTTCCATGCAGCCATTCTTTTTGATTTTTATGATCCCTCCTGATGCATTTTGATCACCTCAGGTGTAACTTTCAAGGTAACCTTCGTCATTAACTCAACACACACACACAACACTCCTCTAAAAAAACGCTGCCTGCTGGTGGTGGTGGTGGTGGTGGTGGTGGTGGTGGCCACCAACAGGGTTTATGACTATTCATGGACGGACTTGTAGTGAGTTGTAGTGAGACGACAGTTGACAACTTTCGTTGCCCTTTATCGATTTTAAATCAGCCCGACAGTTGACAACTTTCGTTGCCCTTTAGTTTGACCTGTGAGTGAATTCAAACATGTTTCAGGTTTCTTCTACAAAATAACCAAACCTGTATTTGATCCATGCAAGGATAAAAAAAAAAACATCTTTTGACTATCTTAGAACATGGCAGATGAAACACAGTCGATGATTTCCCTCTGTCTCACAAACATTCCCTGTTCTTCAGAACAAGGTAGAGGTCACAGGTTTTTTTTTTTATCTGCATTTCTATCACAAAGGCGCCATTACATCATCAAACATAACATCACCTCTCCCACATTAAAAAGCAATGATGTCACCAGCCATCAAATGGCCCACTGGGAGTTTTAAAGATGTGTCAGGGATGCTCCAATACTACAGGGTTATCTGTGCCTTGTTGTGAGGCCATTAGTGGAGAGAGGGGAAGAGCTCTGCTTTACAGTCAAAGGATTGGTTACTGCTGGAGAAGAAACAGCCTGGCATCACAACAGCCACGATGAAAAGTTACATAATCTGTGTATATATTTAGATTTGTCCGGACTAGTGTGAAAATGGTCCGAGAAAAACATGGAAGACTTTCCTGTTTTTAGGGCCGTTCTTGTTGATCATCTGAAATATTCATGAGAAAATATTTTTTCGTTTGGCAGAGTGTAGTCTTTATATGTTTTTTTGATAAAAATGTAGTCATAAAGTGTTTATATTTGTGCTTTTTGCACCAACGTATAGTTTACTTTAAGTTTGATCAGTGTGCTGTCAGTGGTGCACGGCCCTGGGGGTCAGTGGGCGCTCAGCATTGTCATACTGTATATGAGTGAGGGCAGCCTGAATTTGGTCATTAGTTTCACCCAACTGCAATTCCACTACAATCACAGCTAACGTTCATGTGCAGGAGGAGCTACAGTATGTGGCTGGCAACGGGTTGGACCAGGTGGTCAGGTCACCAGGTCACCAGGTCACCAGGTCACCGGCTGGATGGCCCGTCGATGTGTGTAGACTAGACTAATGTGGTCTAATGTCCATGGTGGACCACACCCACAGCCAAGACGGAGCGAACGGGAGTGGTCACGGCCACCGCCGCCGCAAGACTGAAAAAGATGAAGATAAATGAAGGAGTCTGTTATTAAACTGTTATTAATCTCCAGTTATTAAAAAAAAGAATTAAATCACATTACATACTGTGGCCCTCCTGAATAAATCAGTGAAAATGTCATTAAATCCATTGTGAGCTGTGGAGAATGGACTCCTATAGAATCAATCGCTGATAATCACATACTTAACCTGTGGATTTCTAAATGGCCACAAGAAGATTAGAACTTTGTTCTAACAAAGATGTGTAGTTCCATCCTCCTCCTCCTCCTCCTCTTCCTCATCTTTACTCCTCCCTCCTTTTCCAGCCATTGTCATCTTTGCAGGGAGAGCTTATGTCTTCCTCTCTCTCACTTTTTTGTCTTGTGTCCACGGGCCTCTGCCGTCTGCCACCCATCTGTCTGTTTCTTAATCCTCTCTCCCTCTCTCATCTTCTGTCTCGTGTGTGCTCCAGTTATTTATCCAGACGTCCTCTCAGCGCCTCTTTTCTCCCACTCTCTAACCTCTTTTCTTTCTCCTCCTCTCTCCACCTCAGCCACTATCTAATAGACCCACATGCTTTGTGTCATTAATTGCCTGATTACTTGCTGTGAATGGGGATGCCAAATCCTCTCAGACGGCAGTGGACCGGCAAGCCTTCAGACTTGAAGAGTCTATCTTCCTGGAGAGAGAGAGAGAGAGAGAGAGGGAGAGAGGGAGGGAGAGAGAGAGAGACGCAGGAAGTAAGGAAGGAAGCCGGGAGCTCTGAGGGAGTTTAAGTGACAAGCTGTGAGTGACTCTCAGGCAGAGGCCTGGGTGAGGGCGGAGAGATGTGGGTGGGGGTGGGTGGTGGGTGGTCGTACGGTACGTGGGCGTATAGTATCTGTGTCTGGAACAGTCATGTGTTCTGCGTGATTAGCCTCAGCGAGGATGGTAGTAGATGTCAGTGTACTTCATTATGGAGTGATTTGTGATCTTTTTGTCCCACACGGACGCCCACGTCTGTAGATGTTCTCGCGCGTCATCTCAAAATGTCTGCCGGCGACCATCTGGCCCGCACTTCAGTCACCGACACAGGCGTCGGAAGCCCAAATAAATCTGTTGTCATATCAATTATTGTTACATCACTGAAGTGAAAATCACTTCGCAGCAAAGCAGCTTAGTGGAGAGGCAGCGCTCAAGTATTTCAGGACCTCAGCTTAGACTGAGCAGCAGCAGCAGCACCAGAGGCAGCAGCAGCCGTC